CTCCCTTTCATGGTCGAGCCAGTGTTGCCAGCTAAAACACACAAAAATTTAACAAAAATAATATTAAAGTAGTCAAGACATAGCCAAATATTGTAGCACCACCTCACTAGCAGACATTTGAATTTGCTGACTAGAATGCGATCGGTTAACCGATGTGACAGTTGATCGGGGGTCGGATAATCGATGCTCTACTGTATATACACTTTACATGTTCTATATTTACAATGCAATTTAACTTTTATCTATTTAAAATACTGAAAGATTTATTATACTTTTACAGATTTACTATTCAAGAAGGCTCTCTCTTTCATAACCCAACACAGTATGAATTCGATTTTGATTAGTTATTACCATACATGACAATTTATATGCATTTTTTCCCCCTTATTCTACTTGTCAAAACTACAGATGCATCTTACGTCCACAATCAACAGTCATCACAAGTAGACCCTTCGTGTATTATGTATTAATAATAATAAACAAATTATCATAAGTTGTATATCCTTTATATGTGATGCTATTTCTTGTCGATTTTGGGGTGCTGAACATGTAAATAATAATAAAATTAATGATAAGTTACTGTTTTCAAGATAAATGTAAATGTAAACTTACTTTATTCTTCCTATGTTAAATGCACTATCTTTTGGTTTGTCACCTGTATTCAACATCTGTAGTATCTCTAATGAGAGTCATTTGAGAGAATTGTTATATAGACTTCCAACGCACTAAATTTTTATATTTGATGCTGTAAAGTATTTTTTCATATTTTTTGGTTATTCGTTTTTTTCAGTTATCTGACCAACCCTAGTCCCCAATTGAGTCAGCTAATCAATGCTCTACTGTAGATTATAAAATTTTAAGTTCTTATATCTCATTAAGGAAGGCCCAAATGAAAATAAACTGGAAATAAAATATTTTTACTTTCAGTTTAAAATATTTTTAAATGTCTTAGAATTATTATAATTTAAAATATTCTTATTTCAGGATAAAGATAAAATAAACCCTTTTCCACTTCCTTTAGTAATATTTGGATCTAAATATGATATATTTCAGGTTAGTAAATAAAAGAAATTTTATAACTGTTATAAATGAGATTACTTTTTGCATATTTTTATTAAAATTTAATATTTATTTATGTCAGAATATGGATCCAGAAAAGAAAAAAGTGATATCTCGATGTCTTAGGTTTGTTGCTCATAGTAATGGGGCAATGCTATGCTTTGTTAGTACAAAATCTGAAAATATCATTACAAAAAGTCGTGCATTAATAAGTAATTTAGTGTTTGGTACATCTGCTAGGTAAGTAAATTACAAAAATTTGTAAACTGAACTTGAATAATTATTTTTTATTATTGTGATTTTGATAAGTTTTGAGAAGATAATATATTTTAAAGTACAGTTAAGTAATTTGGCTAGAGGTAGGCTGTTAAGCCACCATCTTGTGTTAATTTTAATAATTAGAAACAAAGAACAATTTATTTTGAAGATTTTGTAAACAATATTTACAAAATTTTTAATAAAAATTAGTTGAAAATAATTTATCAGCATAACAAAGGAAGACAATGATCTACTTTCTAGTGTTACTATAATATCATATTGAAAATAAAATATAAATATTTTAACTAAACATTCTTATTATACTAATGATCAGGGGATCAGGGGTGGATTTATGGGATCTTCAAGTGCTGCTGTACCTCCTGGGAGTTTTTCTTGAGTAATGCCAGGTATTTCAGGTAGTAAAAGAATTTTATAAGACATTGTTTCCTCTCTATAACCTTTCTAAAGATTTCTGGATCTGTTATTGCTAACATTATAATATTTTTTAAAGCTACAATATATAAATAATACAATAGTTAAAGTAATTCATTCTACATTTCGTTTAAAATGTTTTTAATGCAATTAAGCAAAAGTTATTATAATTTTGTAATATATTTGAAAGTAATTAGAAATAAAACCTCACACAATATAATTGATATGATTAAAAATCAATTCATATGATTTTTAATTATAACAATATTATTATTTTAAAATAATAATATTGTTACCATTGGCTTCAGTAAAAGTAGAAGTAAACAAATAATAATTAATTAATTAAAATAATAAATCTATTATTGTTTTTTGATTATCACTTAGGTTCGAATCAAATAAATCAAATAATATTTCTTAAGGATTTTTACCTATTACTTAGGTAATTTTATGCATAAAAAGTTAATTTTAGTTATTGTAATTGAACTAGTGAAAAAAATACCAAATTGTTATCTATTACTTGCTTTATTAATTCTGTCTGTTTGATGTGATTTCTAAAGTTTAATGATATTTTAAAATATTATTTTAGATTTAGTACAAATTAGTATTTAAGTAATAAATATCAAAAATTAAACTATATAAATTAAATTCTTGATCTTAATCATTTCCAATGCATTAAAATAGAAAAAAAATAGTTAGAGATTTATCAACTATGAAGTATAGCTTCTATAATAACAAAAACTGAGTGTTAAATAAATTTGATTGCATGTAACATTTAATAATTTTTATTATATTTTTGTTAATTTGAATTTTAATAAAGAATACAGGCATTGTTATACTTAATTTTACTAATATATTTACTAATTTGAAGTCTATTTTCAATCACTTTTAAAGAGAAAAATTATATTGCATCACATCAACTAAAAATCACAAACTAGTATTCTAAAACACAACTAAAACATAGCAAAATAAATATGTGTAAGTACTAAATGATTATGTTAGTATGTAAAATGTTTAAAACTTTACTTTCTGATTACTAATTAATATTGTTATCAGTTTCTTTGTCAGTAACATGTATAGTCTGTAAGCTATATCATACTTCTTTTACAAGATAACTTAGCAAAGAAGTTGTGAAACAACAAAAATTCATATAAAAACAAGATAATTTTATGTAATGAGCTGTTAATCACCAAGTGAGCTGAAGACTATATAAGCTTATAGAAGGTCAAGAAAGCATGCTTTTCAAAATGTCTATACAGGAAATCCTCGTTAATTCAAAATTCATGGGATGAAATAATTGTGACTTTGAATTATCAAGTTTCAAATTATTTGAGATATACATATTTCTGTGCAATATGCCAAATGCCATGTAACTGATGTATTTTTTTTTTAAGCAAATGAAACACAGCTACATATACAAAATGTTATTTTTGTTAATTAATAATTAACGATAATAATAATACAAATAAACTGCAGGTAAACAGCACAGTCCAGTGAGAACCTCACAGGTTACCAGATAGGTTTTATAAAAAGTAAAGCAGAATTTCTTGAACTGTAGCCCAAATTATTTTTAAAGTGCCCCAAAAAGTAGTAAGTTGCCCAAATGTAGTAGCCTAGACCCCTAAAAATATCTCAATTTGCTACTTTTAGCTCAATATTGCAATCCTGCAACCCAGATGTATTTTATGAGAAAAGAGAAAAAAGGGTAGTCCATGGGTAAGGTGACACTCAAAAATGTATTACTGTAAAAGAAAAGCCATATTGACCAGATTAGAGTTGTTTTTGGTCTATTGTTCTCTTATAGTATGGAGACATTTTAATATAAATGAACAAATTAACATACTCATATTAAGGTTCAGACAGAATTTTTTCTTTAAATTTTGAAGTAGCCGTATTTTGAACTATCCAAATTTCTTAACATATAAATCTTTATATTCCTGAAAATAGTATTATCATCAACCCATCTCTATTATAAGATTAGGATCAAATTTATGAGAAATTTCGTTTTCACTATTCTATTTATCGGATATCTAATAGAAAAAAAAAATTTAAATTATTATTGAATTTTATCTGAATAAGTTCTTAGTATTTAAAATGATTTTTTATTTAAGTAACCTAAAAAATCATTTTAAATAAAAATGATTTTTATTCTATAAAAAATAAAAATCAGAAAATTTTTCATTATAATGGAGAATTAACTTACTTGATGATAACCTTGAATAAAATGATTAATTTTAAATTTTAAAATCAAAAATACTTGTGTGGAACATTATATTTTGAATTTTTGGAATTTGAAATGAATTTGAATATTTGTTCAAATTCATTTATTTTAGATATATTGTTTTTGAGTTACCCGAAAAGTGGAAATGATTGAAATATTTATTAATTGCCAAAATGTATACTATATGTGCCACTATTTACTTTCCTTCTTTATTACTTACACTTTATAATGACTGAAACTAACTCTATCTTCCTCTTCCCTCGAGGGGGGTGGAATTTCCAAAACCTTCTTAATGTGCATTCTCATGACATACCCCACTGAAATGCAGTCAAAACTGCAAAAAACCACATTTAAAATAGTACAATAGAAGCTGAGTTCTTTAAGGTAATCCTTAACCCACTACCTCTCCCCTGCAGGGTGATTTCCAAAAATTTCTTATTAGGGTGCATTCTCATGGTGTATCCTNACATTAATATATGTAACAGAAATTTAATTTTTGTCATATCTAAATAACATCAAAAATGGCCATGTCCATTCAAGTAACAATTAAAGCAGCCAAATTCAAAGTGCAAAAAGTGGTCAGCTTCTGTCACAAAAACAGCCAACTCCCACAAATAAAAACCATTTTAATCAAACTAGCACTAATTAGAGTGATCTTATTTAAATGAAATTGAATATTTTTTTTCAAAAATTTAAACACAAAATCATATAAATTTAAACAGAATTTTCATATGTTAAACTAAAATTTGGCATTATTGGAAAATTAACATAAGTGGACTTGGTCAGCTTTGAAACTAGACTTGTTTATATCTTGTAATTTTGAAACTATAGCAATAGTTAAAAGATTTCATGATGAAAATAAAAATTTGATTGTAATTTACTTGTAGGCCATGCTTTTTATACAAGATTTGATGTGTTTGAGTAGTAAGAACTAATTTTGGATTATGAATACTTTTGTAATTTTAATGCAATTTTTTTTTTCAGCAAAACAGTTATTTCAGATTATAATAAACCAATTTATATACCATTCGGAGGTGATTCTTTTAAATCAATAGGTAAATAATTTTATTTAAAATAATTTAAATATTTATAAACTATTATATGTGTATAAAATGGAAATACATCTAGATTCAATTAGTTGCTATAGCTAACATAAATATACATTGTCATGCTTATACATGTTTTTACATTATATATTCGAACAAAAGATTCTGTATTTTGGTTAATATAGCATTAAATAAATTCTCTAAATTATTAAATTGCTGGTATTTTTAAAATATTTGGAAAAACTTTTTATGAATTAGTATTATAATTGGAGTAATTCTACAGAATAAGGTACCTAAGTTAAATTTTGATGTTTTCAGAAGTTCTTCAAGAAAAAACTTTTTTCTGTGAGGTATGTTATGAAATCAATAAATAGTAAATGTTAAATACAATTGAATAAAAAGCTTATTATAGCAAGGAGAATATCTGTATCCATAAAACCTTATTCAATATGCATAATAAAACACTCAACTGAAAAAGATATCTAAATGCACTTAGATACCTTATTCTGTAGAAGTCATTAATTACAGACATATTCAAAATAATAAAGGTTTGTTTTTGCTTTTTAATAGAAATTAATTATAAATTTTTATCTTGTTTTTTAGATAAAGTTTT